TCAAACCTGACAATCATCAGACTATCCCCGGAGGGCTCGTTAAAGCATACTCCTGAGCCCCACCCACAGTTTCTGAGTCCGTTGCTCTGGGGCAGGCCCAGAAGTTTTTTTTTTTTTTTTTTTTTTTTTTTTTTTTTTTTAACAAGTTCTCAGGTGCTGCTGAAGTTGCTGGGCTAGGGACACAACTTGGGAATCACAGCCTTAGGCATACCTCTGAGCAGCCTCTAGGATTTAGGGAGATTTCTTTGGCTTTGAGAACCTTTGAGAAGAAACTGGTTCACCTCAGGGAGTATGACTGAGAGGAGCAAATGCAAGCTCTGGAATTTGAGGACCAAATGTCAGTCCCGGATTTGACACATCCTGGGAGGTCCTAGACCTCTGACCTTTGTTTTCTTCATCTGAAAATGGAGATAATAATAATACCCCCCCCCCTCCCAATAGCATCGGTAATGAGGATCAAAAAAGGTACTTTATTGCCAAAGCTGGTTTGGCTCAGTAGATAGAGCGTCGGCCTGCGGACTGAGTGGTCCTGGGTTCGATTCTGATCAAGGGCATGTACCTTGGTTGCGGGCGCATTCCCAGTGGGGGGTGTGCAGGAGGCAGCTGATCAGTGTTTCTGACTCTATCCCTCTCCCTTCCTCTCTGTGAAAAAGCAATAAAATATATATATTTTAAAAAGGTACTTTATGATCTTTGAAATGAAATACAAATGTTAGCTGCCACTGATGGAGAACAAAGGGCAGCAGATGCTTCTTTAAAAACCTCTTCCTGGTCAGAGACTTTGGGAAACAATTTCATGCTGCTCTGTTAGTGGTGGGTCTCTTCTGAGGTGTTTTGCTTTTCTCTCCTTTATTTCTTGTCATTTGGGGAAAGCACCATACTGCTGACAATGCTTTTTGGAAAAAACAAAGATATTATTTGCTATTTTCAAGTGCTGTTGCTGAGTCTAATTTTTCCCCCCATCTTGGTGTGCCTGAACATTAGGTGGCAGTAATTCAGTCATTTTGGTCAGATCTGCTCCTGGCTCGGTAATATTAGCACTCTACAGCTGTGTGCTCCCCACGTTCTGTCAGTGTATCTGTCACACACCGGAGCAGCTCATCAGCGCCATTGTCTCACTGTGCGAGCTTCCCGCATCCCAGCTCCTGGCTCTCCTTGGTCTTGTAATGCTAGCATCTTAGTAATACCTTGCCCATGAAGACCTCACATACTGTTCTTTCTTCATACCTGCAGATTTCTGCTAAGTGCCTTTGTCAAGAGTATTTTGGGGTCTCCGTGATTGGTCAGGAATTTTTTCCCCCTGAATTACAGGCATTCATGCATCACTGCGTAGCACGGGGAAAGCACACAGGCTTAGAGGTAGACATACCGAGTCTGGTCAAGCCTCCATCGTTTATTACACCGGTTCTAGGGTTCCACCCTAGAGATTTTGATGTCATTGGTGTGGAGGGGCCTCAACATCTGGGCCTTTAAAACTCCCCAGGTGGTTTTACTAAGTTGGAGACCCACTGCCTATATAATAATGAGGAGTTACTTTATTGGTTCTAGGCCTCAAGCTTCCTTGTATGTAAAATGGGTACAATAACATCTCTAACAGTAGTTGTGGGGATTCCAGAAAATGCCATGATTTTAAGGGAACTGAAAGGCCCACACTGCTAAATTTTCAGTATGTCTTTTCTACTGCCGTCAGGTCCCTCCTAACGGTGTCCCTACTTAATCTGGCTCATCTGCTCCCTTGAGGGAATATTTTTTGAATTCACATAGGATATCTGCTGGCCAGGGACCTTCTAATCTGTCCTTATGAATCCACATAGCTGTCACACCCAACAAGCAGTATTTTAAGTTTGAAGAACATACAGACCTTGTGTTAGGACCAGGCTCTGCCCCATTGACATTCTCTACTCTGGACCCTCATTGGTGCCTGTGTCTCCCTTACTACAGCTGGCCTTTTGCCTCTGAGAGCGAGGACCCTGCTCACCACCCCCTCCAAACAAGCTATTCCTGCTTTATTTAGCTTGTCTACAGTTCATGTTCTTGCTTCACCCCCTAAGCCTTCCATCCTTTGGGCACAGCCCACGCCCTGTCCCTCTCATGATGCTTACTTTCACCCCTCAGTTTGAGCTATGAAGTGTCTGGCACATACTATCAGGTGCTAGTGTCTGCAAAAGCATTCTCGATGTGCTTGCCTCATTTCCCCTGCTCAGCTAAAAGCTTCCAGAGATCAGTGACTATATCTTTCCTGCCTTTCCATCTCCCCAGTACCTAGAACTATTAGTACAGAATGTGCTGATTGAGTGAAAGGAGGCTCTCATATGTTCTTATTGGGTGTGCCTTCAAGTCGGCAATCTGATTATATGAATAAGCTGAAATCTAAAGTCCTGTGTCCCCCAACTAGACTCTAAGTTCTCTGAATGTAGGCCCTGGATTCCTATTTATTTACATTCCTCATGGCATCTGGAGCAATACTTGGGCAGCTGTAAATGCCCAGTGAGCACTTCTTGTCTTGCTTAGGAATGTGAACTAAAAAGATCCAAGGAAATGATCTACAACTACAGATGTATTGTAGTGGTCTCAACAGAACATGGGTAAGGGCTAGACTTTACCCATAACAGGGGCTTCTGAGAAGGAGTGCACATATCCCAACAATATCCACTGAATTCAAGAGAAAATCGGAAAACTTCCCTATGTCTAGTTTTGATTGAAAAAAGAATTAGGTTTTATAGTGTTCTGCATAGGTGGTCACAAACTCTGCATTTGATCAGTATGGCACACATGGAGAGTGGAGGTGATAGTGTCACCCGCAGTAATTTGTTTTCATTAGATATATGGAAAATAATTTAGAACTGTTTACACATACATGTAGATTTATAAATTTGATTATCTAGTTTAATCCCCCCCTCAAATGGACAAGTGACTTTAAAAATTCTTGCAGAGAAACAGGAATTATAGGTACTACTAGTAAAGTAAGCACAAGTGGATGGCAAGAAAATGGCAAAAGTGCCTTTAAAAACAACAACAACACATTTTATTGATTTTTTACAGAGAGAAAGGGAGAGGGATAGAGAGTTAGAAACATCAATGAGAGAGAGAGACATCGATCAGCTGCCTCCTGCACATCCCCTATTGGGAATGTGCCTGTGACCAAGGTACATGCCCTTGACTGGAATCGGACCTGGGACCTTTCAGTCCACAGACCGACGCTCTATCCACTGAGCCAAACCAGTTTCGGCAGAAGTGCCTCTTTTCCAACTCTAGTTTGTCATCTTGGTTAGCCAGATGACAAGGTAAAAACAGTGGTGGTGTAACCAGTTGTGACAAGGATATGGTCCAAAAAGACTTTGAAATGACCAAAAAGACTATATGAAATGTGGATCTACAGCCACTGTCATTGTATTATCCTAATCCTGTATGGATAATGTTTCTGGAAGAATTAACTAATGGTATTTGAAGAACTAATGATTTTTGAAAATACCTTTATTTCACTTGAACTTCAAAATTTCTATTTCTGCATTTGTCAAAACATTTGTAATATGTTCGGCCAATAGCTTATCTCTATAAATGAAAATAACTACACATATATTGGCTATATATGCTGAAAAAGACTTTATTGCTAAGCGTGCATGTTTACTGGGTTAGAGTGCCAGGCAAATGAGAGTGTTCTTTAAAAAAAAATTTTTTTTAATATTTCAATTGTAGTTGACATACAATATTATATTCATTTCAGATATTCAGCATAGTGATTAGACATTTATATAACTTACAAAGTGATCACCCGCATAAGTCTAGTACAAATGTGGGTTGTTCTTGATGGCCCAGTTATCATCATCATCTCACACTGCTCTCACATGCTGTCTGACGCAAGAGCTGTCTCAGGAATGTGTGCTATTAGTCACTGTGATAATGGCACAGCTGGGAGGAGATGGGTCATTAAAAATTCATCATCACTGTTGAGTTAGAAGTTAACTCAGGCCACACATCCTCTGAGGTCAAGGCATCTTTTGCTTATAGAAAAAGGCAACACTTGATAGAGTGTAGTGGATTTTTAAGATATGTATTATGAGTATTACATGAGCATGTGAGTTTGTTTATATGTTTGGAAGTGAATAACAACAACAAAAATCTGGAATTTATAATTTTTCAAGTATGTTCTTAATTTATATGAACCTCACAATAACTGTGTAAGGTAGGAGCCATCCCCATTGGATGACAAAGGATGAAAACATCAGCAAGGGTAAGTGACTTGCCCAAGCTCACATATCTAGTAAGTATAGAATCAGGGTATAAATCTAGATAACTGGTATTAGCCAGTATATAGCTGTTTGTTTCCAAAGATAAGAATTCATCTGTATTTAAATATGTATATGTATATGTATATGTATATGTATATATATGTATATGTATATGTATATGTATATAAATATATATTTTTAATTGTTTTTTTTTTACAGAGAGGAAGAGAGAGGGATAGAGAGTTAGAAACATCGATGAGAGAGAATCATTGATCAGCTGCCTCTTGCACTCCCCCTACTGGGAATGTGCCCGAAACTAAGGTACATAATCGAACCTGGGACCCTTCAGTTCACAGGCTGATGCTCTATCCACTGAGCCAAACCGGTTTTGGCCATCTGCATTTTTATCAAGTTGTCTAATAATTCAAAGGTGCGGGTGTGGACAGTTTCTAGACATGGAACGGTGGGCAGCAGTGGACTCCCATGTCCTGAGAGGAAAGCAAAATGTTCACAAATGAGGCCTGGAGATGGAGTATCCATTTCATCCATCTGTAGTAGGTGGTGAAAACAAGCCAATTTTGGTTAAATATATTGACGGTGTATCATGTCATTTTTCAAGTGAAATTTCTGCAGTGTTTTTTTTTCTCCTTTTTTTTTTTTTTTAATCAAGCGATTCCTCCAAGGGGCTCTGCCAACAGCTTTCCCTAAGGTGTTCTGCAGAGCATCAGATAGCAACCTAAATATAATAAATATTCATCTCTCTGTTAACAGGACCATTGCCAACTATTTGGTGTGGAGGATGGTTTATTCCAGAATTCCAAACCTTAGCAGGCGCTTCCAGTATAGGTGGCTGGAATTCTCAAGGGTAAGTTTTAAAAAGATTGCAATGTTACATCACTTGATAACTTTAGATGCAGGAATAGTTTATATATTAGCTAATCCAATAAAAATCATCTTTAGGAATTGGACAGAGGGAGTTTTGCAGGCCAAGCTCTACTTTTTTCCTTTTCTTTATTTTTATTGAGGTACATAGGGACATGGAGTAAGGTACAGTGATGGCCTTTCGATATGACCTCAATAAATAGAGTTGATGCGGCTCTGTAAAGATATTCAGGGAAATACTTGGGACCATCACATTATTTTCACTCTCCACCTTTTGTCAATTTATTCCCATTTCCCCCCATGGGTTTTTTCTTTTAAATATTTTTATTGATTTTCTTTTTTCTTTTTTTTTGAGAGAGGAAAGAAGGAGAGAGAAAAACATCGATGTGAGAGTGAAACATTGATCGGTTCCCTCCTACACACTCCCAGCCAGGGATCAAGCCTGCAACCTGGGCATGTACTCTGACTGGGAATGGAACTGGCAAACTTTCGGTGCAAGGGATGATGCTCAGTCAACTGACCCATACCTGCCAAAGGCCCCCAGTGTTTTTTTTTTTTTTTTATATATTTTATTGATTTTGTACAGAGAGGAAGGGAGAGAGATACAGAGTTAGAAACATCGATGAGAGAGAGTCATCGATCAGCTGCCTCTTGCACACCCCCTACTGGGGATATGCCCGCAACCAAGGTACATGCCCTTGACCAGAATTGAACCCGGGACCCTTCAGTCCCCAAGCCGATGCTCTATCCATTGAGCCAAACCGGTCCCGGCTTGCCCCCAGTGTTTTTAACTGGTTCGCTATAATTATAGTTTTAATATTTCTTAGTGATGTATTTGTAACCATTTTTCATTTCAGTAGCCTAAATATTTAAAGTGTGCGTGGCATATGTACTAGATAGTAAAGTTTCATCTTTAATGTAGGCATGGAGTTTCGTCTCTAACTTTATCTTGATCTTGAATCTTAGAATCTCTCTTAACTGCTAGGCCAAAGACGCTTAAATCTAGACTCCTGGGAGACCTCATTCAACTGTCCTTCTCTCCTCACCTGACTCTTTGACCATTACTTCTCTGCCACTCTCATTCTCATCTGACATTGGTGTTAACTTTTGTCTTTGTTTTCGAGGCTTTAAAAAAAAAATCCTCACCCTAGGATATTTTTTGATTGATTTTTAGGGAGAGTGGGAGAGAGAGGGAAAGACAGAAACATCAATGTGAGAGAAACAAACACATTTATCGGTTGCCTCCTGCATGCACCCTGACCAGGGCTCCGCCTGGCCTGCGAGGGGATATGGGGGAGCCTGCAACTGAGTTATGTGCCCTTGACCGGAATCGAACCTGGGGCCCTTCGGTCCACAGGCCTCAGCTCTAGCCACTGAACCAACCCGGCTAGGTTGTTTTGGGGGCTTTTGTCTGAATAATTCTCCCACCACTAGAGGACTTAATAATTTTTTGGCTTTTAAAAAAAAGTAACATGTTAAGCCCTGGCTGGTTTGGCTCAGTGGATAGAGCATCGGCTTGTGGACTGGGAGGTCTTGGGTTTGATTCCAGTCAAGGGCACATGCCCGGGTTGCGGGCTTGATCCCCAGTGGGCGGTGTGCAGGAGGCAGCCGATCAATGATTCTCTCTCATTATTGATGTTTCTATCTCCCTCTTCTTTCCTCTCTGAAATCAATAAAAATATATTTTAAAAAAGTAACATTTTAAGAATTTGGTGACTTTAAAAATATTTTTCTTGTATTTGAATGATGAATTTTATAAGCTATGGTTTCATTTAACAAATGTTTTAGTTATCACTGAAACTGGTAAATACCAAAATTCTTAGTGGATCATTACTCTTGAGGAGTAACACAATTATTTTGAATACATTTTGACCTTTCAAAGTCATTAGACTATTGAGCTTTATATAGAACAGCATAAAACAACTATATATATTGAGGTCATATCAAAGATTTAAATTACAAAACTAGTAGGTTTCATATATGTATATGTATTTAACTCCTATGGATCACGTAAAAGATGGTACCCAGCTGCTCTCTACCGCTGTGAAAAGAGACAGAGAGAGGTGTAAGAAGCAGAGTGTGAAAATGTGGAGGTTATGTATGAGAGGATGTTTCTTGGGTGCAAAGTGCTAAATATAATATTGAATTGCCAAAGAAAGTTGTAGGGTCGGCCGAAACCGGTTTGGCTCAGTGGTAGAGTGTCGGTCTGCGGACTGAAAGGTCCCAGGTTTGATTCCGGTCAGGGGCATGTACGTTGGTTGTAGGCACATCCCCAGTAGGGGGTGTGCAAGAGGCAGCTGGTCGGTGTTTCTCTCTCATCGACGTTTCTAGCTCTCTATCTCTCTCCCTTCCTCTCTATAAAAAAAATCAATAAAAATATATTTTTTTAAAAAAAGGAAGTTGTAGGGTTGTTCTCTCTAGAGGTTTTAAAAATAAATCCACACCTTTCCTCTGAGAGGGGTTGTGTGACCAGAGAGTAGAGGAAGAACAGATGAACTTACATGTTAATCCCATTTGCTTTGTGCCAATAACCTGGGCCTAACACTGTTCAAGGGACGCCTCCGGCTACCATTCTCAGGGGCCTCCCTTCCTCACTGCCTGCCTTCACTTCACATTGTGAGTGCTCCGGACCCTCAGCCTCCGAGTACAACTAAATAATATTTATTTCTTTGATTTCATCTCCAAGAGTAAATCTTTGAGCCTTGCAAATTCTGTTTTGGAACTTCCTTACTTGTTTATAAATGTTTTCTTATAATGATTTATTTATTTATTTATTTATTTATTTATTTATTTATTTATTTTTTAGTTTTCATATTTTATTGATTTTTTTTACATATTTTATTGATTTTTTTTACCCCCCTCCCTCCCTCCCACCTATCCCCTCCCTCCCCAGAGTTTTATGTCCATTGGTTGTACTTATATGCATGTATACAAGTCCTTCGGTTGATCTATTATCTCCCCCAGATCTTCCTCCCCTCCCCACTGTAATTTGACAGTCTGCCTGTTGCTTTACTTTCTCTATCTCTGTCTCTTGGTTCATCAGTTTATAAAGAGCTTTATCGTCCACCAATGAGTGAGGTCATGTGGTATTTCTCTTTCATTGATTGGCTTATTTCACTCAGCATGATGTTCTCCAATTCCATCCAGGTTGCTGCAAATGATGAGAATTCCTTCTTTTTTATGGCAGCATAGTATTCCATTGTGTAGATGTACCAAAGTTTTTGGATCCAATCATCTGCTGACGGGCATCTAGGCTGTTTCCAGATTCTGGCTATTGTAGATTGTGCTGCTGTGAACTTAGGGGTGCAAATATCCTTTCTGATTGGTATTTCTAGTTTCTTGGGGTATATTCCTAGAAGTGGGATTACTGAGTCATATGGGAGTTCCATTTTCAGTTTTTTGAGGAAACTCCACACTGTTCTCCACAATTTTCTTATAATGATTTAATTGGGACAGATGGGAAAAACATTTATATCTAGATTTTCCTTGGTGACCAGTGTGTCCTTTGCTATGACACAATGTGAATATGCTTCCTGGGCTGTTCACGCTGGGCCATGTTCTCCTGATCTGCCTTGTGAGTTTCTGCCCAGAATAAGGAAACCCTCACTGGGCAAGAGCTTGGATCACCTATTGATTCTAGACCTTTCTTGGTGGAACTTAAGTTCTCAGAAGATACTAAATATTCCCTGGACATTTGGACAGCATCCCGCCACATCCCTGTAAACTGCAGAAAAGCTATGCTATTGTCTTCAGTGTTTCCCAAACATTTTTAAAAAATATATATTTTATTGATTTTTTTACAGAGAGGAAGGGAGAGAGATAGAGAGCTAGAAACATCGACCAGCTGCCTCTTGCACACCCCCTGCCGGGGATGTGCCCACAACCAATGTACACGCCCTTGCCCGGAATCGAACCTGGGACCTTTCGGTCCACAGAGCCAAACCGGCTTTGGTTGTTTCCCAAACTTTTGACATATGTTGTACCCCTTCTATAATTTTCGTGACGCTGAGTATCCCTCGTACTCATGAGAACGTAGAATTAGGCACAGCTAAGCACGGTGCAGTGCATATCCCCACCAAACTCTTCCCGTGCCCCTGGGGGTATGCGTACCACACTTTGGGAAACACTGGTCTAGATCCTTAGTTTAATGGGATAAATTGGAAGGGATGGAGAATTACATTATTTTTCACTGTCAGATGTTTTTATTTGGTTTTAATCCTCATTCGAGGATATTTTTTCTATTGATTTTTACAGAGAGTGGAAGGGAGAGGGAAAGAGAGAGAAATATCGATGTGAGAGAAACTAACTGATTGGTTGCTCCCTGCACACCCTGACCAAGGCCCAGGTCGGGGACGAGCCTGCAACCAAGGTACACGCCCTTGACCAGAATTGAACCCAGGACTTTTCAGTCCCCAGGCCGATGCTCTATCACTGAGCCAAACTGGCTAGGGCTTAATTTAGTTCTAAATATAACTGGGGACAGGCATACATTTTTTTCTTCATCTGATTTTCCCTTTGGCCCTCCTATCAGACACATGCATATGGGTGGGGTGTGCACTGTTTCGTAGACTGTTTTCTTCAGGTTGATTTGTTTTCAGCTATAGGTTTTATCCAAGTGAAAGTAAATCTGTATTGATTGTCTCCCACAGGTAATCCAGGGGACAACAACTTTGCTGCCTCAATGGGACAAATGTGTAAACTTTATCGAAAGCGCCCTCCCTTACGTTGTTGGGAAAATGTTTGTGGATGTGCACTTCCAGGAAGATAAGAAGGAGATGGTAAGTGCTGCTCCCCAACTGAAAGCCAGCAGTAGCTAACCAGATCTGACATGGAGATGGCCATCAGGCCGCTAGCAGTTTCATATCGACTGAAAACTCAAACACAGAATGTAATCATGACAATGAAGAAAATTTTGTACTGAGAAAAGTATGAAATCAAGCTGCATAGAATCAGAATTTCCCCTGGAGAAATTACATATGCGAAGTCTATGCTGAGGGAAAAAAGGGGCCTAGATAATTTTATGATTGGCTATTTGAACTGTTGTAATTATAAAAGGTAGGGGTTTTTCCACTTAGGACTCTGTTTTAGAGATGAGAAAGCCAGAGACCCAGAGATGGAGTGATTTGCAATATAGTTCATGAATTTTAAGTGGCTTAAAAATAAGATGCAGGTTTTTTCTTCTCTCCTTATACTGTTTTCTAAAAACTAAAGGGGTATGACGCTTATCTCACAGAAAATACGTTGTGTCTATTTTTCATAAACTTAAAAAGAAACCCTTTTATTTTGGAAATTTCTAAACATGAAAGTGGAAAGATCAGTGTAATGAATTTCTCTGTACCTATGGTCCCTGGCTGTTCGTACCGTGTTTCCCTGAAAATAAGACATCCTCCGAAAATAAGACCTAGCGCAACTTTGGGAGAAAAAAAATTAATATAAGACACTGTCTTATTTTTGGGGAAACAGGGTAATTGATGCAATGGCATGAATGGCCCAGCCAGATGTAATAAGAGGTGAGGTTTAGCTTCATTCATTCAGTCAAAAAATATTTGTTGAATACCTGTTGTATGTCAGACACTGTTCTAGGCCATGGGATACATAAGAGAACAAAGCAGACCTCACTGAGTTGACATCCAAATGGAAGGGGAGGGGTAGACAATAGAAATGTATAAATTAACAGGTGTGTTAGAAGTTGACAGTATCTCTGGAAAAATGAAAAGGAGCTAGGGTAAAGAGGAATCAGGCATGCTAGAAGATGTGGGTGTGTGGGTTGTGTTGTAGGACTAAATAGGATGGTCAAGGAAAACCTCACTGTGAAGATGACGTTTGTCACAGATTTGAAGGAGGTGAGAAATTAGGTATGGCAATTATCTGGGGCCGTGGTCGGCAAACTCATTAGTCAACAGAGCTAAATATCAACAGTACAGCCATTGAAATTTCTTTGGAGAGCCACATTTTTAAAACTTAAACTTCTTCTAACACCACTTCTTCAACATTAGACTCGCCCAGGCCGTGGTATTTTGTGGAAGAGCCACACTCAAGGGGCCAAAGAGCCGCATGTGGCTTGCGAGCCGCAGTTTGCTGACCACGGATCTGGGGGAACAGTGTCCAGAAGGAACAGCAAAAGCCATAAGGCATGGTTGTGCCTGGAGAGATATAGGAATGGAGTCCACAAGACTGGAGTGGGAGGAATGAAGGTGAGAGAAATAGACTCTGAGCTCAGAGGAGTAATAGGGATGGTGGCATTTTGGAAGGCCTGTAGGTCATTGTAAGAATGTTGGCTGTACCCTGAGTGAAGTGGAGATCGAATGCAGGCTTTTAAGCAGAGGCCTGATGTCACCTGACTTACGTTGAGAGGATCATCCCGGCTTTTTTTTTTTTTTTTTTTTTTTAATATATATTTTATTGATTTTTTACAGAGCGGAAGGGAGAGAGATAGAGAGCTAGAAACATCGATGAGAGAGAAACATCGACCAGCTGCCTCCTGCACACCCCCCACCAGGGATGTGCCCGCAACCAATGTACATGCCCTTGACCAGAATCGAACCCAGGACCCTTCAGTCCACAGACCGACGCTCTATCCACTGAGCCAAACCGGCTTCGGCCATCCCGGCTGTTTTGTTGAGAAGAGACTATAGGGCATGAAGGATAGAAGCAGGGAGGAGTTAGGAGACTGTTGGAGGCACTAGGCCAGAGATGAAAGTGGCTTGAACTAGGTGGTAGCAGTAGGAGTGTGAGAAGGGGGTGGGTGCTGAACGTATTCAAAAGTGTAGACTCCATTGCTGACAGATCGGATGAGGGATCTGAGAGTAAGAGCTTTGCGTCTGATTACGTGGAAGTATGGAGTTGTTCATTGATAAGGGGAATTCTGTGCGAAGGCCAGCCAGGTTTGGAAGAGGAGATTAGGAGTTTAGTTTTGGCCCTGTCGAATTTGCGATTTATTAGACTTTCAAGTGAAGATGCCAAGGATGCGTTAGGGTACATAAATTTTGAGTTTAGGATAGTTTTGAAGGTTGGTGGGGAGAGGAGAAGGTGTGAAATAGTTGTCCAGGGGAGTGGGAGAATGAGGAAACTGCGGAAATGCAGCATGACTTCCTGGAGGCATTAAAGGTCGAGGTGAGTTTGGAGGTCATAAATTTAAAGAGACTCCGTACCTTGGCAGTATGTTCTTGTTCATCTGTTTCAGCTGCATTGGAGGAAGCTGTGCATTTAAAAAAATATATATATTTTTTGATTTCAGAGAGGAAGGGAGAGGGAGAGAAAGATAGAAACATGATGAGCGGGAATCATTGATTGGCTTCCTCCTGCACACCCCATACTGGGGATTGAGCCCGCAACCTGGGCATGTGCCCTTGACCAGAATTGAACCCGAGACCCTTCACTCTGCAAGCTGACGCTCTATCTTACTGATCCAAACAGGCTAGAAATATTTTTTACAAATGGCATGAAGCAAAATATCTAGGCATGATTAGCTAATGTAAGGGAGGAAAAAATGATTTTCCCTCTATCCTTTTAGGTTCTAAGATTCCCCATAATCAAAGACCAGTTAGCAGGATAAAAAGACACAAGTTTAGTAACTCGTATACCTCCTGTATACATGGGAGGACCCAGAAAGATAAGGCCCGGAAACAGGCCAAAGCACCACCTTACATACCATCCCCAGCTAAAGACAAAGAGGTCGGAGTGGGAGGGCCATGGAGGCATGATAGTTCTGGGAGGTGACCAGGCAAAGCAGGTAAAGGAAGGTAAGGTTGTTGCGCAGATTTAAGTCTGTGCCTTCTCCAGTGATAAGGTTTCTGGAGACACCGTCATCCTTTTCTTCCTGGTACACAGAGGCAGACACCCTTACAATGGAGATTTTTGTTGCAAATGTTAATTTCTCTCACAAAAAGGTAACTTCTCTCTTTTTAGAGCTTCTCTTGTGTCTGGGGCCTCTCAAAACTAATCAGCCCCAAATAATTACTATGACAAAGAGGCATATTTTGGGGTGGTAGATTTTTGCTCCCCTTCACTAATAACAGTACATTATAGTCAACCATATACAAATATATGAGCAGCTTGGATGCAGGTTGAATTTAAAGGCAAACAGCAGCTTGAATTTAAAGGCAAAGAGAAAAGAAAATCTGTTATGCTGTTTCACATGGTTGGTATTATGGGCTGCTACATAATACCAACTGGTTGGTGTTATGTGTTGATATGTAATGCATAACTATGTATTATGTGCTGAAGTTCATTTTGGAATGCCATGAATCTAAATGCATTTACCTGGATTTTTGATGTGTTTTGATACTTTGGAGAATTAAGCCATGTTTGAGATTTTATATTTGAACCTGAAAGTCCTCTTCTTGCATATAATCCCACTGGAGAATTGATGTCTTATTTCAAAATAACTTAATATTCCCATTGTGTGCTTTCTTTCACTCCTTGGTTGGAGTAAATGGGTTGAAATTTATCAGATAATCACAGTGGTAACGTAACCTCTTAGAAGGATATAAAAACAAGGGTGGTTTTTTTAATATGTAGTGGGACTTATTCATGTTCGGGTGTGACATTCTAAAACAAAGTTGATTTTGGCATTCCTACCCGCCACCCCTTATTTTAATGTACATGGGCATGGAGGCACGATAGTTACATAGATACTCATCTATTTTGCATAAATTTATTTGCATCCTTTAAGCTGAAATTGTTTGCCTCAGGGAAAACTTAAATTGGAAATTTACATGAGAAATATCTATATGAATTTTAGCTTTTATCTATCTGATTTTATTTTTATTTTTCATACCCTATTACAGGGCTCCCATCCCTGCTACAGGGCTCCCATCTAATAACTACCTTGAACTACTGATTTATTTACACGAAAAATATTTTTTATTATTACGGTAGTTACAGCCCAAAGAAAAAGAAAAACAGAAAGATCCCCATTGGGACTCAAACTCAAAACAGAAGGCTGCCTTTGCTTTATTTACAAAAATCTGTTGTTAAGCAAATGAACACAGTCAGAAGGTTAAACTTCAGGTACCTCTCAGTCTCTGCTGTGTACAGGAATCACAGGAGGATCTCATTGCATTTAACAAGGATCTTTTTAACTTGGGTATGGGGTAAGCCCCAAGAATTTGCATAACAAGCTCCCAAGTGATGCTGATGTTGCAATTCCAGGGATACTTGGAGTAGCAAGACCTTCACATCATTCATTTGCAGTTAACCACTAAGAAACCCTGTCCTGGTGATTCATGTGAGCAGGGCAGGCTGCTGAGTTGGACAGCAGTACTTCATTTACAAAAGTCCATTGCATTAGTACAAGGAACCTCTTCAGTTTTCAGATCATTGAAACTTTTCCCTGATTCAAATTGATTTAAGTGGACTGCCCCAAACCCTGTGTGAGGGCCTCCAGGCTTCCATCTCCCAACTATTTAGTTTTCCTTTGAAAAGTGGTATCTAGGTTCCTCCAAGGGACTTCCTGCTTCTCAGTATTTCTGTTTCTAGAGACTCTGAATGGCAGGTTAGCACCCTTTGTCATAGAGTTTGGGAGAGAGCATTTTAACAAGTAATTAATATAAAAGTTATTTGTGTTATAGTTTATATACTTCATTCCATACTAAGTTTTTGAAATCCCATATGTATTTTATACTTGTAGCACATCTCAGTTTGGATTAGCCACATTTCAATTGCCATGTATGGCTCTTACATTGGACATGTGGTTACCATATTGAGCAGTGACCATCTAAAGAATTGAAGAGGGATCTCGTGAGTTCAGTGTAGCAGAGCTCAGTCCCTGGATGAG